ATATATATATATATATATATATATATATATATATATATATATCTGTTATATATTCATTTTGTTACGTATAAAATATATCAATAAATCATATATTCACTTGCATTTCTAAATATATTTAAATATATTTAAAATATTTAAAACAGATTTCCACCCGTATTTTTAAATATATATGGAATATATTTCAAATTTTTTTAAAATATATTCTAACAACTATAAAATTTCTGCTTCTATTGGTATTTATCAAATCTTTTCTTTCTTAATCTTATGGCAGTTTCTGAAGAAATTAATGCATTAAGTTTGATAACCGAAAATATACGCTTGTATTCTGATTAATAATTTATTCAGTGATTATCCGTATAAACTACTAGTTATAATTTTCTCATCATTAAGTTTAATTTATTAATTCAAACATTTCATTCAAAGATTTACGTAATTACTCATAAAAAACTGGAAAAAGCAAATTTTTTGATTGCTTTACATTTTTTACGAGGTTTACGTCTTCTTCCACCAGCTTCACATCTATATTTCCGTGAAATTCATCATCTCGTGGACAAAAGAGTAACATATGGAGCATATTGCCAAATGCTCCTTCTATCTCAAAATTTAACTTACGTTAGTAAAAAAAGAATCCAAATTAAGTAACTTGAAAAGTTCACAAGATATTATTGATGCATAATTTTCCATACAGAGAAAGCAACATTTTCAAGTAGAATGATAAATATTCTTAATTTTATATTCTTAAATCAAAGTTTATTATTTTAAAACATTTTTTATAGACTTGCAAAAGTAGTGCCAATAATTACTGGTTCTCAAGCTTTTATCCAAACTATACTTTATAGTAAATAAATTTAAATTTGCATAAACCTTCATTTTTACATCTCGTTCAAGTGTGCTATTAAATGAGGATTCATATGCATTTCTGATTGCTACCATTTGCTGCAAAATTATTGTAAATATTAATTTATTGAAATAGTTTTTTTAAAAAAAAAAACCTTAATACAAATAATTTTAATCGAATTAGTAAAATAATATATTCTATTAATTCTTCATTCTTTAAAACAAATATTTTACAATTATTATTGAGGCCATTCTTTTTCATTTATTTAAATTTGAATGAATTTGAAACATTTATAAAAAACTACAATGAAGTTTATTATTAGATTATAGAAATTAATTTGTAAATTCAGCTTTATAACATAAAAATCTCCAGAAAAAAATAAAAAATTAATAATTTTTACAAAATTTCAGAATTATTAAAAGCAACAATTGATGAAATCCTTAATTTTTAGATAAAAAGACATAATAATTCAATTTTTTTAGAATATGCAAATTTAGTACCGATGTTGTTCGCGTACAAGCGATTTCGACTGCAATCGTTTGATTAAGTTTGCCATACTGATTTGAAATGTAAACAAAATTCATCCATATTTAATTCGATTTGAAGATGCAAAAATGTAAAGTGAATATGAAAACTTTAGATTAAAATGTAATCATTTATTTTTGAATTTTTAATTTTGTACTTGAATAATTTGAGAAAGTATATTGGCTGAATAGAAATGAGCAGGCGCAAATAAAGCTGAAATCGCATCGAAAAAAAATCCACCAAGGTTAGATTTAAAATCATTCATAAGCTTCTGAAAACAAATTTTAGCTAAATTAATGAATAAATAATCGAAAAATTTATTAAGAGTTTTATTTATGTTTTAATAGCCGATAATTCAGTAGTTTAAAGTGGTTTTTAGTTGATAAAATGATATAACTGCCAGTGATATTGTAAATTTGCTATCTAATGCATTGGTATTAACTCAATTTGATAGTCAATAGCTTAATAAATAAAATCATTCAAATTACTCATAATTTTATGCAAATTTTCTCATGCATCTAATTAGTAATGCTTAGCTAATTAAATTATTATAAAATAAAAAACGTACGCTACAATAACGATCTTCATATGTTTTTAAAATTCGTTGACGTTGAAAATTATTATAATTTACAGCAATATCAATTATTACCTTATCGCTGGTACCTATAAGATTTATTTTTGTTTACAAATACAAAAAGAGAATGAAAAACTGCAAAGAAAACAATTAAAAAGTAGGAAAAATGATAATTTTAAAACACAAAAACTAACACAAAAAATGTAAAAAAACAGAAAAATTGAGAAAATGGAAAAAAAAAATTTAATTTTAATAAAAAACGGCCGTTATAAAGCAATTTTTCATGATAAAAGTTACTTTTTTCGTTATTAGACAAACTTTTTTTATCTCAAAAACTTGAAAACATCAGAAAAGAACCCTTAATACAAAAGTAATTAATAACAGAAATTCAAATTTGAAAAAAAAATTACAAATGAAAATTAAAATAGTACCTAGGCCATTTAAGGCTTGTTTGAGCTTTTCACTGGCTTGTTCAGGACGAAAATCTTCATCTGCTGGACCAGTAACTGTACCATGCACATCATCACTCTCAAAAATTACAAAATGCTATTTCAATTGCTAAAAATTTTTATTCATAAGAAACCCATAAAAATTTAAATTTTTATGCAAAATTTATCAGAAAGCATTTTCAAGCAGTGAATTTTGAAAATTTTTCAAATTCAAGTTTTAATTTACAAAAAATGATAAATTCATTTTCGAAGATAGAAAATCAATGCTTACTAAAAAAATTCAAAAAATTGATAAATTTAGTGAAATTACTAATTTTTTAAAATTATTTAAAAAAATTACAGCAAAAATTTTAAAAGCAAATTCTCAAACACACCTGGCTCTGATTCATTCGATACATCAACGGCATATTGAATTGTTTCCTTCGATTTGACAATCTACTTGTAGGATTGACATTTTCGTGTTTTTGCAAAATTTTGTCATTTTTCGTATTTTTATCAGATTTATCATTATTCTGTTCATGGCAGTCACTAGATTGATCAAAGTTACTTTCACAAATCACAGATGTAATCTCTTCAGCCTAAAAAAATCACAGTATACCCAAAAAATGGAATAATGGCACTAGAAAAAACTTTTTGATTTGTATAAAAATTAAAATGTTTTCAAACTTCTCTTCAAAAATGATTTGAATTAAATACTGAAAAATATTAAAAAGAGAAAATAAAATAAAATAAGTAAAAATTCGTGTTGATTGTAGCTTAACTAATCATTAATTAATTATTGACTTTGTAAGAAATTAATTTTGTATACATTATCATCATGAAAGTTTTTGTTTTGTCTTACTGAAGGAAGTTGTTGGTCACTTCTCGATTTGAGATTAGAGTGTTCTAGGATTTCTTTTTCAAAAAAGCTTCTAATTTCCTTGAATTTATGGCAGTTTTCAGTTTCCTTCTGGTCACTACTCATTTGTTTCTTAAATTTATATTACTTTAAATTGCGTGTATTGAAAGTTTACGTTCTTAAAAAAATCAAAAAAATCAAAAAAATTGATATAAAGTAAAAATTTGGTAATTCCATTTGAACCCACTCAACATTTAGCATGCATAAATTTTAAATATTATATTTAATTGTGGCAAAAATCAGTATGTGATTAAAAAAACTGATGATACTATAACAAATACCAAAGCTAATGAAAGAACTAAAATATAAGCTAATTATAAAGATAAAAATAAAATCAAATTATTCATAACAAATGATTATCAAATTACTGATAATATATATTGATACCACGATCGAAGAAATAATCAATAATGATTGATATATTCACCAAACTTATCAGTTATTATCATCAAAAATGATGTACTTAAATACAAATATACTGATAAAAAGTAATCTAATTTCCATACAAATGAAAGTCTATAGAATGAGAAATACGATGATGAATTTAAATTATTCTCCTTTAATATTCTGAAAATACTTTTCCACTTTTAAGTCACAAGAAAAAATGTGCAAAAAATGCTTTTAGATCATTAATTTTTTATTCTAATATACATTAGAAATGATTTCTATTTTCGCCATAAAATGATTGCTACAAAATATTTTTATAAATAATATATATCTTTTCATTTAATTCAAATTTGTATATATTTTAACTTAAATTAAAAATGATACTGTTAATTTGCTTAAAAAAAAAAATAATGATACTGTCAATTTGCATACTGTCAGTACTGTTAATTTGCTTTCACGAAGCATATTTTTGTGGAAACTGATATTTAGACATAATCTAAACACAAAAGTGAAACACTGTTATGAGTCATATTTAAGACGCATTATTTAATAAAAATAAAAAGTACTAATTTGTATGTTTCTTCAAGTTTATACAAATTTTTAATATCTTTTTTTTAAAAATAACATCATTAAAAATTCTAATATTGCTAAAAGTATTGAATATTCATGAAAATATATCATATATAGCTTGCTCGACACTTTTTAATAAACGAAAAATAATCGAATATTAATTAACATCAAAATAAAACTTAACTTAGCACTTATTCACTTTGATATTAGTATTTATGTTTTAGAATAAAGTTGATTTTTCTTTTTTTGAAACTAATACTTTTATAACTTCAAATTTTAAAAGAGTAAACCAATTTTTAAATAAAAAAGTATAGAAACAACTTGAAACTATCGACATTTTTTGTTTACAATTATGCAAAATGATTATATTTGCTTCAGTTATATTACTTACAATTTTTTCTACTTAGCATTTCTTATATCAATCTCAAAAACTAATCAAGTTAAGTGCTTTTTAACGAAGATTCATATTTTTCTTGAAATAACTTTTAAGCTGAAAAATTTGCTTAAAGTTTTTTAAAAAATGTTATGCATTATGAATTCAGATAGTATTCTATCACTTTCCGATTATTACATTCTCTTATGAAAATACCAAAGCTAAAATATTTGAATTGAAATAAATTTATTTTTTCACAATTTTAAGTTTGTATTAATATATAGATTAAAAAATTTAACTGTTAACTGCATAATTTTTTAAATTAAAAAATAAATAGCTCTAATAACGATAGAGAAAAAAATTTTTTATTTCGAATATTCTACAATAATTTACAGTTCACGCAGTAAAAATGCTAGTACAGATAAAAATGAGTGAGATCAACATTTCAGGGTCAAAGTCGGTCACGTAACGAAACGGCCACGTGACGTGTACTGTATTGTAATTGCTAACAGAAATGCTGAAAATAAAGTTATCAATTTCATTTTAGTGGTTGTATTCTCACGTTAAGGTGTTAGCACTAATTATTAAGTCATTCATTTTAGGTATATTTGGCTAATATACCTAAAATGTTTTTTTATTTTTATTTTTTAAAAGTTTACTCAGTTATAAAAAGCAAATCTCGTAGCTAGCAGTTCAATATTAAACTTATTTGGATGAAAAATAGTATTGATAGTAAATTATTTTGAAAAATTACGATGTAATTTTACCAAATAAGTATATTAAGTAAGTATAACAATTCAAAAGTATCAACTAATATATCAATCGATTTTAAGATGCAAGCAAGAGTAAATCAAAAAATTGAATACCAATAAAAGCTAAAGCAGCTGTGATAAGAAAAGATAATGTATATCCAACAGATGATAATGCATATTCGCTACCAAATGCTAATAATGCACCACTTAAAGTCTAAAAATTAAATAAGCTGCATGAAATTGTCGAAAAACAAACTTAGTCGATCAAAATTTGAAATGATCAAACTTTTAGATTGATCAGAAGTAATCGATTGATATTACTCCTTTATATAGTTCATGAATTAAAAATAAAATAAAGTGAAAAGAGATTTGAAACTGATTACAAGTTTTGAACAGGTCATAAATTTTGGATAAATCAAAATATTCAGATCAATATTATTAATTGAAGAAGAATATACCACAGATAAATTTATGAATCTACAAAAGCTAAAAAAATAAAATACAAACTGTAGAAAAAATTAAGCATCCATAGTTAGTTGATTTATGATCGGTACCAAAACATTTAACAGATGCTGTGATAAAGAGAGCATGAGTAGCAGCCAAACAAATTAGCATTAAGTTCATCTAAAAATTATATTAAATTGAAATTAAGTTTGAAAAATTTGCATATTTTCATTAAAACATGCAAAAATATTAAGGGATAAATAAGTCAATCAGATATGTGATACAAATTTCCCGCTAAATTTATTTATTAATTACTACAAAAGAATTATAATTTAGTAGTGAATTATTAAAATACGTAAATTTTTGACAAAAAACATTCATAAATAAATTTTCACTTCTATCCCAATTATTTTCGTGAGCTCATTTTACATTTGACTTAAGCATTCGAGCAAAAACTTTTTGTGTGAACGAATTTAAAACATTATTATATACTAAATTATATATTAATATCCTTACCCATACAAAATACAACCATTTTCCACCTTTTGGAGTTAATGGCATTGTCAATAAAAGTACTGTAGCCAAAAGTGTTGCAATTGATAAAGATTTCTTGAAAATAATGAAATTTTGTAATTTGCTAATTTTTGCACAAAATTTGAATAATAAATGTAATTATAGCATATATTTAAAATTAGATATAATTACGGCACATACTTTTTTGTATATCACGACATATATTTTTTAAATAATTTTATTAAAAAATTAAAATTATGGTATATATTTTTTTAATTATGTAATATATGCCGAATTAATTATATTTAAAATAATTTTGAAAACTTTCAATAATTTCTTTTGTATTACTGATAGTAAACAAGATTTCAATAAACAAATGTGATTATTATAAGTAAATAATTTTTTTTTAAATAAAATAAACTTTTTTCAAATTGTCTACACAAAATTTGCAAATTTAGCAAGTACATTGTTAATTTATTACTAATTATTTCCGAAAAATGAAAAAATTTAAAAAACCTGGAAACTTATTTGATCAGTCAAAATACCCCAACCTATCCGTGCTAAAGCATTACACATCGATGCTATACTGAATGCATAAGCCATGAATAAATCATCGTCAATAAATGTTTCTCCAAATGTCTGAAAATGCAAATTTTTTAATTGATGATTAATTAATTAATTAATTAATTATATGATAAATAATAATTTTTCAATGAAATATAATTTCAATTTTGAGATAAGTTGACATTTTTTCACAATTATTTTGGTAAAATCAATATTCCATTTATTAATCCACTGGTCAGCTTCTATAAATGATGTTATTTGATGGTCAAAATACCTCAGAATTTATTTATTAACGCCGGTTTTTTAAATTATTGTCTATTAAAATCATTCATTTAGCAAGCTTATCAAAATTCATTACTGTTACTAAAGAATATCATAAAAACTTTGAACTATTGAAAGGTTTTGCTCAGCAAAGTATTTATGGACTGACAAATTTCGATATTTAGTAACTGAAATGATTTAAATTTATAAAGTGAAGAGATTTTCAACTTGGTCAACAAATTTACATAAATAATTAAGATCAATGAATAAAAAGTTATCTGATATTTTGACCAAATAATAAGAAAATGACTATTTGTTGTAATATTAGATATTTTGATTAAATAATTAGAGCACTATTAGATATTTCGATTTGATAGCATATACAATTTCTGAATATCGAAATATGTAATAACTGATTTTAATTAGATTAGAATAATAATAGATTTTTATTATTACAAAATATTGATTGATAAGATTAGTAAAAAATACACACATATTTTATAAAAAAAACCTTGTAAAGATTATAAAACATATTTCCATAAAATGAGCAACAAAAGAGAGCGCAAAAAAGCCACAGGAAAGTTGAAGTTTTTAGTATTTCTGATGGACTCAGCGAAATACTTTCTTCGCGCAGATCTACCATTCCATTCTCCAACACTTCATCATCCCTTTCATTCTTCAAGAATTAAACTTTCTTAAAGTTGTTTTTTCATATCCTAAAGTATTTTTTTAATAACTTATCAAATAATTTTTCAAATATATTATAATTTTATCTATCTACGAAAAATTCTGCACAACAATATCAAATTCAGATATTTGATATATTAAATTCAAATATTTGAAATATCAAATTCAAATATTTGAAATTTTTGATTATTACTGCAGCAAAAATAACAATAAATCTATTGAAATTCAGGAAAATAAAAATTGCAAGTATCATATAAAAATTATTATACAAAAAATAAGAAAAAAATTGAAATTTTTAATTATGATTTAGACAAAAATTGTATGAATTTTATCAAAAATTGTATAAAATTTATCAAAATTTACTATATTAAAAACTGCATATATTTTATCAAAATTTATATATTTTTAATAATTTAAAAATTAAAAAATTTTAAATAATACTTCAAGTGATTGTCGCCATTGTAATCTTGAATAAGCGTGTCGTTCTATTCTGCAACAAAATAAAGTATGCAAATATTTGAAAGTTTGTTCGAACCAATTCCAAATTGATCCCGAAAGTTGATATTGTAATTCTTCTGATTGTTCTTCCTGACATTTGTCATTTTTTCAAATTTTTATTTTTGGTTAGAAAATGTCTAAAAATGCATATAATTAAATATTTTATCAATAAATTGCACATAATTTGCTTAATAACTTATAATTTGAAAGAGAAGAAAATAGAAATTATTAGCGATTACTGATAATAAAAAGAGCAAAAAGAAATCTGATGATAAAATATTTAACTGGAAAAAATGGAATAATTAATGTTTGTTAATTAATTAAACGAAAAATTTGATATTAAATTTATCAGTCTAAACTTGCAATTATCCATTAAAAAATTTAAATTACTCGATTTCTAATATAATTACTTTTAAAATATGCATTTTTGCTAAATTCAAGATATGAACAAACCAAATTAATGGGATTACAAATAAAAATCAAGCCAATAATTTGCATAATCGCGTAAACAATCGCAAATATATAAAATGCCGATGGTACACGACGGACAAGATCAATGTCAGTGAAATAGCTGAAGAAGTTTGAAAATAAATATATTTTTATAATTAAATTTTTAGATTGAACTTTTATTTGAACAAAGATACTTAATTGATTTTAGCATTTCTATATTATAGAAAAATTTAGATTTAACTTTTATAAGTTACTCACGCAGAAACAGTTGGCTTACAGTTCAACGGATTAAGATAGATTGTTTGAAGTGGAGCAAATATGGATGAACTGAATCCAAATCCAGCTGCAACAATACCACTTACTAATCCAACATGTTTTGGAGCCCACTGAAACTTTTGTATTTTTTATCTACCAAAAACACCATACTTACAATAACAATATAATAAAATGCCATAATAACTTTAAGTTACAATGTTTCGGATACAGTAATCACTGTAGTCAGTATTTGCATATCAAATACTATATATTGCAATATACTTCATTACTTACAAGTTACTGAATTCAAGTACAGTAATATATAATGTTTATCTTTATATACGACAAAATAAAAAAGATTTTATCTGAAATTAATCTATGGAAACTACCAAATATGCTAAATAGTCATACTTTTTATAATTTTTATCAAAATAATAACTGAAAATCTAAGTACTTACGTTGATGACACAAGAAATAGTCAGAACATATGCAATTCCTTGACCCAATCCAAACATCATTCCATACGTAATCAAAAATGCTAGAAATGATATCTGTATTGTCCAATAAGATAAAAATACACCTGACCTGAAAAGTAAGTTATCCTCAAAAACTTATATAAAATAAATTTTGATTGAGTATAATTTGTATTAATCACTATAAATACTCTTATCTCTTATTTATTAATCATACTGACAACTTATTAACTTTGTTTTAGGTATCTTCAACATATTTATATCACTTATAATAAGTGAGAATCATTATTATCATAGCTGCTTTAACAGAAATTATTAATTATCAAAGATACTATCAAGTCATTATTTTTAGTTTAAATAATTTAAGCATAAATAACTGACGCCATAATAAAGCATCCTAGTGAAGTTGCAAATCTTAAACCAAGTTTAGAACTTAATAATCCACCAATGACCATTGCGAACGGAAAACAACCTGAAATTTTGCATATTTCGTTTTACAATTTGTTATTAAAAAGTATTTAGGTAAAGGAGGTAAGTAATTTTATGCAATGTATGCAAAAAATTACTTATCTGACCTAAACAATGATAAATTTTTTATTGACTTTTTATTTTATCAATTTTTTATTTTTGCTGAAAATTACAAAGTTCGTGTTTAAATAAAACTTTTTAATCGAAAAATAGCTTACTCTGAAAGGTCGGTATCCATATGAGTATTTCATGATTTACTGAAGAATCTGTATAATTTTTCATGTAAGATGCTATGTATGGCAACATATTACCTGCAATGATAAAAAATAAATAAAAATTAAAAGTCATTTTTTAAAATATTACTTTAATAATAATAATAATAATAATAATAGTAATAACTAATAAAATAATATAATAACAATAATAATAATAATAATAATAATAATAATAATAATAATAGTAATAATGATAATGATAATAATAATAATAATAATAATAATAACAATAATTAATAGTAATAATAATAATAATAATTAATAGTAGTAGTAGTAATAGTAGTAATTTTTGCATGATTTAAAGAGTGTATTAATATGTTTTCATAATTACGCTACTGGCAAAATAAAAAAAAACTGATTTTTGAAAAGAACACATGGATGGTTAATAATAGTCAAAAGTAAATCCCAAGATGAAAAAATAAAAAAAATAAAAAATTAATAAAACAAAAAATATTAAAAATTGATAAAAATAAAAATTCAGTAAAAAATTTATGAATCTAAAATTAAAAACTGAGCTTTATTTCATTATTATAGTCTTATTTATTAATATTAATTGCGCTTATATGTCATTAACACAATACTGTTTCGTCTTATTATTACTTTTATATCATTATTTTTAGCACTGCAATATCAATAACTAATAACTACTTTGTTTTAAAAAAGTTGATTTATTATTCAAGTTACAAGCAACATTCTATTATTACTCTCAGTGAAATAATTTTATTATCATTTTTACTTAAGTAATTACTTAAAATTATTTGAATTATTTGAATTAATTTATTACTTTGAAAAATAACTTCAAGTATTTTTATGCAGTTTTTTATATCATTTTGAATAAAATCAATTCTTATTTTGCTTAGAAAAAATGTATTCTTTATGTGACTTTTTATGCTTATACAGGCAAAACTTTGTTTTAATTTAATAAAATTTGCTTTCACTTTTCTCTGAACGAAATAAATTAAAATAAATAATTATCTAATATAATGTATAAAATGATAAGCAAATGATTTAAAAACAACAAATAAATAATTTTGATAGATATAATGAATATTACCAAATGTGTGATATGATCCAAGTGATAAGTGGATTAGTACAGCACCACAAATTACGAATAACAAACGTGTTAATGGCGTAAAGTTTGTCAAATATTTGGCAATTACATCACCCGAAATATTTCTATCCATTTTAGCAAACCGATCTAGAATTTATGTTAAATTAAAGTAAGTTCAAAATTGATCAGACATATGCAACATATCTGAAGTTCAGATCAGATCAATTGAGCACAAAATCTGACTTCGAATAAAAATAAATAAATAAAAAAGTTTGCATTTACTAAAATCCATTATGCAAATTAAATATAACAAGTGAAAATTCAACAAATTTTAACATTTTTAAAACTTTTTCTCCTAAATTTTTCTGATATTTTTCAATTTTATAAGGAAAATTTTTTATTGCTATTACTTTTTTTAGTAAAAAGTAAAATAAGTTGTAAAATATTTTGCAAAAATGTTGCAAAAAAATTTTTTCTTCCTAAAAAAATAATTTTTTCTGTTTTTTTCGCAGATTTATGTTAATAAGTGATTTTTACTTTTAATTTTTCGGATTTTTTCAAGAAATATCGTAAAAATTTATTTTACTGAGAATTTTTTTCTATAAATTTTACTTTTTTACATTTTTCAATTTCGTTACCAATTTGTGTGATTTATTAAACTTTAAGTAATATTTTTTGTTTAATATTTAAGCAAAAATTATATCAAAAATTTAAATCATTTTCAAAGTAATCATTTAAACTTGCCACGTTTCTTTGCAGCGTAACTTATCGACTTTAATTAACACAAAAATCTTCGAATTTCGCAGCACGTAAACAACACTTAAAAAATTCGAACTATTATGCTCTTGTAATTTTCTGAAACTAATAGTAAGATCAGTAATCAGTTTTATCATAATAGTAATACAAATTTGTTTTCGTTGCGTGAAAGAAATGATTGTAGTAAATAGTAATAATGATAATTTTTTAATATAATTATTATCAATCATTATTATCAATTTAATATAATTATTATCAATCAACGATGTGTTTGAATAATAAAATAATAATTATAAGTACTATTGATTAATAATATCTCCAAATAATAAAATGATCATAAACTATAAAAATAGCACATTTTATACTTAGTTGTACCAGCCTTTAAACTAAATTATCAATAGTAATTTCATATAACTTAAAAAAATTATATGATTGCAATAATTCCAAATTCACTAAAAATTTGCTGAAAAATATAAAGTTATTATTTTTTAAATATATCAAAAAACTAATAGTTTAACCTGAAGCTTTAAAAGCAGTAAATTTAGTGTTTTTATCTATTTAGCATATATTATATACTTATATTAAATATGCATTAAATAGGTGGCTTAAATATCCAAAACGTTTCATTAATCAGTCTGTCCAATTACTTAACTTGAAATTAATTATCATATATTTGGCATATATTATATATTACTTACTTATCTATTAATATAGATTAGCTCGTAGTAATTAAAATCAAAAGTAATTAATATATGCATGCCAATGTATGATAATCATGTTAATTACTGATTTTCGTATAAATATACGTATTAATATACGAAAACCATTAATTAAGCATGGTAAAAACCACAAATTCAAAGAATCAAAATTTAATAGAAGGAGAGAAATTAAGTAGGTTACTTTGATGAGATTTTTTATCAAAAAACTTGTTTTTTGTTAAATTATTAGAGCAAATATCAATAAATATTGCTCGAAAAATTTGTCACTCTTTAAGAATCAAATATCAGTGACTAAAATTCATTAGATTATTTTTAATAACTTGAAGAAAAAAATAGTACTTCCAAGTATTAAAAGAGTTTGAATAAGCTTTTAGTAATATAATCAAATATTAATGCATAGATTATACACGTAACATTTCAGTATAAAGTGATAACACATCTTGAATTGATAAGTTGCTTAAGCAATCACGAAGACATGTTTTCGTGCATTATCAATGTGAACTGAGTTTGTTAAATTAAAGAAAGTAATCGTAAAAATATTTTAAACATAGCTCTTTTTTATGCTTAAAAAATTACTGCATTACTTTTAATTTTATACATGAAAACTTATTTAAGATTTTTAACTGCTTTAAATTTTACCAACTATTTTTTTTTTAAAATCATTTATATCACAATTTAGAAAGTTTAATTATCATAATTAAAATATTTAAGAATAATTAAACCGATAAAAATTTTCAATTAAAATAATTTAATTGCTTCAGCAAAATATCTAATGACAAAATTTAATCATAAAAAAAGAATTTAATTATTTTCATTAAAATATTTAAAATTAATTCATTTCACTAAAAGTTAACAATTAATAGCGTTTATAATAGTTAATGTGTAATAAATGGCGTATGTAAATGACTGACTAATAATTAAGTTCAAATAATGCTTGTTAAGTAATGCTCTATAATTGCATAACAAATTTGTCTACTTCTATAAGTAAGCTAAGACACGCTTCAACCTATACGCCTTTTTCAAAGTAATGATAAGAAATCAATGAATGCAAGACACACAATACATACTTGTTATTTTAACTACAGCTACACTTACTTATTACTTCAAAATTCAATACTTCAAATTAAAATTAAGTACATAATTCTTTTTTATATTATCTACTACATATTTAACATACATAAATTATACAATATTAATTACCAACTTTTTACATTACTTTTTTTTGTAACAAAAAATTTTAAGTACAATATGCATGTAAAACAACTGACATGAAATAATTCAGCAATTTTCTCTCGTAGAAATGTAATATTCTGCAAGAAAAAATCTCTCAATAAATATGCAAACTCCGTATAAACTTTTAACTTTAGCACTTACTGCTAGGTAGGGTTCAACTAAAAAAGTACTTCCACATACCCATCAATTCATCTAAACTAGAATTCTCGGCATTTGCCAAAACTCATTCTAGTCTATATATTGAGAAAATGCTACAAAAAAATCTCTCCTCCAAGTCATGTTCTTTTCAACCAAAAAATGATCTAGAATCTAGCTCAAAGTACTACATAATATAACAATAACGAACCTGACCTAATTGCTCCAGGCAACACTTCTCCAACCAAAATTATAAGCATAGGAAAAAATATTTAAGCCGAAGCTAACCGTGGAATATCATGTCCGATCACCATATGTCAGCACACTACTATCTAATCAACACATTATACAAGCAAACCTCCTTCGATTTTTGAGCGAATCCCTTCATTTTTAAAACAGTACAACTCTGAATCCCTGCAAACTACGGTTCCCAGATTCCTCGACTCAATAGAGCCGTGTTATAATGCACTTCTGTATATTAAACAAAAAACTAATTTTTATATTTCATTCCAATCTCATAATACAATAATCAAAAACAACGAAATCATGACGATTTCATTACTCAGTGGCAAGATATGTTATATGTATAACAGAGTAAAACAAATTTATATAAAAGCGTTTCTTCGCCAGTAAAACTTGAATGGAATGTACAATAAATATGCATAAAACAGAGAGAAAAAAACTTCAAATGGAGTACCATAATAGAATGCTAACAAAGGAATAATAAATATATCAACCACAACGATTTTGTAACCAAGGAATGAATTAGAAAATTATTATGAAATTCTACAACTACAATTAACTACGCTCATCCCGGCTCATAAAATTCAACGCAAGAAATTAATCTTCCCTTTGTTCAACAATTTCACCTCCCTCATACCAATATTCCCAACATTTTATCTTACCGTGTACAAAATTTTACCAATTCTAATACGCTAGCATTAACGCTACATGTATCATCAGCACTCATGCCCCTGCAAGTTCTAAAAAAACCCTTGTGCATGAAAAAATTCGATAATGAATAAAAAGTGTACTTTCCTGAGAACAGCGCAATACAGTGGCAATTTCTAATCATGTAAGTTTCGACAGTGGGAAATAAATAATCAAAATAAATCTAATAGTGAACAAATGCCAGTTTATAAAACTTATATGCTCAATAACAAGATTGAAAGAGTTATTCGATCTGTTTTCTGTTTTCAAAAAAATCTTGAGACATAAAACGTTTAAAACTGTAGACAGAAATATTTTTTAAAACGTGCTCATTAATAAAAACATTATTCGGCGTAATACAAAAAATGAAATATCATTGCAAGCATTCCTGTCTACTGAATGTCAAAAACCAATAAGCTGCAAGTAAATAAAACAAGTGGAAATACGTTATTCGATGAAAAACGTAAAACATTTCAAAAATAAACTGAAATCGGGACCTGGCGCGAAAAAATATTCACGAAAACAAAACAATAAAACCAAGTGCAATACCAAGACTGGATGATTTACAAATACAAGATGCTCTCTAGTAATAATATATTTGATAAAATACTGAATTAAAAAACTCCATGAAACACAAAAAAATCTTCCAACTACTTTTCCGTCTTTTTCTGCAGCTTTTTTAAAATAAAGATTCAACAAAGGAAGTTAGAAGAGCAGTGAAATTGTAAAATAAGAGTACAATTCAGTATAAGTTTCACAACACAAAAAACACTATTAAAAATTTGCATAAAAGCAATTTCTGAATTCAAAAAAAATCGTTAAAACATATATCAGCTAAAACCAAAAGCATAAAGATTATATTAATACAAATGAGGCTTAAAATCTTCACTGCCATCAACGAATGGTATTTCTGGTGATGAAGTAACTGAGATTTGCTTGCTAACTCTTGATTAGCACGGATTTATCTATTTTTTGAAACCGCTTTCCTGATAGCCAGCTCTAATTCCATGAAAACATTTTCCCATACAAAAGATCACCAAGAAAGATGAAATTTTTTGTAAAATAATTTCTATAAATGCCAATTTACCTCTTTTCCAACAATAAAATAAAAAACGAAACAACTTAACGAACATCACCAACTATTGTATTTAAGCAACTTTAAAATGATTACTGAAATCTCTTGCAAACTATAAACTTTCGTTACCAAATCCAAATAATAAAAAAATAACGACTTACTACGAATACGACGATACAGCAAACGTTTACGACGATGAATCAATTTTTTTCGGCGCAATTTTCTAACCGAAAATATCGGCTTTTCCGTGGATGATGATAATGAACATTCGTTACAGGCAGAAGATTGATTGTCCGGCTCCAAAGCAACTTGAGAAGTTGCTGAGACTAAAAATGTTTCAAACAAAAAATTACAGTTAACACGCTTATTTATTATCAAAATGTAGAAATATGTTCCATAGTATAATTTACAGAGCCATTTTTTAATATCTAGTGTAATGAATGTAATTTTTTCTTTTGATTTGATAACAAGACCTAATATAAAATATCATGAGAAATATACTATATTGAACTAGAACCATTCAAAGCAAAATATAAGACCACGAGCTAAGAAACAATAATTTATAAATAAAATGAATTCTCTCCGAACAAAACAATTAAAAATATTGCACATGATTATAAGATGCACTATTTTAAGGAAATATGGAATTACCACATGTTGGAGATGTAGGCGGAGTAATTTCAAGCACAGATTCATGATCTGAAGAACGGATACAAGAGCTACGTTGAGCAGTGTCGTCAATCTCATCTTCATCTGACTTTTCCGAGAGAGACAGTAATGCCATACCTGTTCCTTCTGACAGAACAGATTTGTCAACAGCACTTAATTGGCCTGAGCGAGGAATATCCGACGAATTCAAAAAACCTAAAAACAGCTTTTATTGTTCACCCAAAGAGCTAGTATAGTGAAGATTTGCTCCTATGAAAACTCATTTCTTGAATTTTATAACTTGAAACAACACTAGATTATATCAAAATTCTGGAGACTCACCAACAACCCTTCTAGTTGGTGAAATTAATGATTCACGCCATAATAAGCGACGTCGTTGTTCCAAAACAAAAGTACTGTCAGATCGCCGACGCCTTGGTGTTTCGCACACAGAAGAAGACGGAATTGAATAACTTGGTGGTGTAACACAACCGTCACGTGAAGGAGATACTCTACTTGAGAGAGGAGAATCTGGAGATTCCAAATCTGGAGATTCCAAGTGTGGAGATTCGTCCAATAACTCTAAACATGAGAAACACTGAATTAAAGAGAAAACAAATACTTGAAAGAATTTTCAATGCTCAAAAAATTGGAGATAATATAAATGAGTCATTTATCGAATCATATCTCGTTTTATGCCTTTTTTTACTAAATTATAGAAAACTGAAGTTGGAGTGAAGTACGATGCTTTTTCCGTCTAATGTTACACCTGAAAAAAATTGCAAAAGAATTGAGAAACTGCAAATTTTCATCAACTGTTTTGTTAAACTACGTTCCTAAAACTGGAAATTGCCAGACAGTCACACTATTTATTTGTTAAATATCCCATCTTGTTCCAATAAAATATTTTCCTGAATATTTCAATTTAAAATCATTCTTACCAGCACTACCAGATGTGCAAGGCATTTCAAAATCTTCATATTCAGAAATGTCGTTATCACGCAACAATTTACTTGAAATTTCTGTTTTAGCGAAAACTCGAGAATCACCTCTAAAACAGTTACCATACTAGAATTTTTAATACAAACGTACATACTGCAGCTTCAATTAATAACGCTTTTTCATGGCACTCACTCTACCACCTTTACTTATTAAATGATGAATATTATGGGCACCTAGTAATACCGCAATACTTCGCACATTATGAACAACCATAATTATTTATACAACTGTAATCATTTATAAAATACAGTACTCCAAATAACCTTTCATAAAGATCGTCAGTCGGAGTGATTCCAAAAAGAGCCTCTTTTCTGCGGAATAAGTTGATTGGAAAAGTTCTATCTATGAAATTAGAAGGAAACAAATTGAATGAAAAGCAAATTCTATTCTTAAAATTTAGAAAAAACAGCACATAATATAAATCTAAAGAGTTCTAAAATAATGTCTAATACCATACGAAATTATGTGAAAATTTAATAGAATTACCTCTAGGTAAACGAGAACCATCTATATCATTCACGCCAAACCTTTCAAAACTGTCGCCACTCCCATTAAAAAGTGACCCTTCATCAGGAGATGACAAGTCCAGCATGCTGACCATTCTGTCGCTGCTCCTAATTCTTTCAGCCTCTATGACATCGATTCGTCGGTTGTAATCGTAGTCTTTAGTTAAAATGAAGTGAAAACTAAGAGGAGCCTAGGGCCGAAAATATCTGACTAATTGAAATGTAAGACAACAAATCAGTCAAAAAGTGAAGCACGACAATTTTTTTTGCCTCTATTAGCATAAATGTTTGATGAAACATTTCTATGTATTTCAATAAGCTGATTTGTAAGTTCAAGATAAGAAAATATATCTCATTATACAACTCTTCAAAACAATGAGATTATTCTTAGTATAAATCTGTATTGAAACCTCTTTCGTCATCGCTCAAAAGTAGTTCTATTGGCGTTAAACTTTCATTTTCAATAAGGGGTCTGAACATGAACCATGGAGATTCGCCAGATGTATGAAATTAAGTTAAATATATACATAAATATAGAATTTTTCATGTAAAAACAGGATAAATTTTGCACCTTATTAATATATTTATATAATTGCTACCGTTTAGCATAATATTTACCGCTTTAAAAGTAGTGCGAAAAAAATTGCGATTCCGGCGTTCAATGAGTGTATTCGCGCAAATCGCCATATACAATAGTGAAGTATCTTCTGGCTGCACAATCCACGAGATTACAAACAAGGAGAGAGAAAAAAAAATCATCAACAGTTCCCCAAAAGATTGTAGAAAATTGTCAAACTGCAAACGCTTATGAAGAGCAACATCTCTATCTTTAACAACAGCGAATTATCAAACAAAAACAGGTATATTTAACTCCAAAAACGAATCAAATATACCTGACGTTTTTGTATGCAACTTGCTACTGTCGGAATAGCACATATTTGCTCAGCAGTTAGTCTAGCCAACGGATTAGCGTCTATCAGACGCAAAATAATTTCCAACATTAGAGGTGGAATATCTGAAAAAAACTGACATTTTGTCGTGTTAAAAAAAGTTTCAAGGAATAAAAATTTGACATACTTTTACTGTATTCTTCAGAAACATGGCCGTATCGAAATTCATGCCATGAATCTCCTGATGAAGGCAAAACATTATCAGTGCAAACGTCGATCATAGTCATACCAAAAGAGAAGATATCACTGAACTTTCCTGGGTTTCCTTGTAAAGCTTCAACTGCCAAATACTTTGCATCACCTTCTGTCATCTTTACCTTGAAAAACTATTACTGATAATTTATCAAACAACGAAAAGTACTTGAGAAAAATTACCTCTGCAATGTCCAGAATTAGTGAAAAATCACCAAGTTTGCAAATACCATCAAAAGAGACCATAACATTTGCTGGCTTAATATCTAGATGAATTAGTTCATGGCTGTGCAGAAATTGTATTGCCTGTAGAATTTATAAAAAAATTTTTCGGATTTTTATTTTGAAACAAACAGCACTTAAATATTGTTCAATTTACAGAAATTTTATGGAAGACAAAATCCTTCATTTAAATGATCAAGCACAAAAACTGGGAGAACAATGCCTCAATTATATATTTTACAATTTTTGGAAAATTTATTCATCCTCAAGTTAGAAATATTACGCAAATATGCCTCTGCAAATATAGAAAAAAAAGATCTTTTCCTTGCGTTAAGCACTATGTACTTGAAAATTATGCAATAAAAAATTGTGATTTACACGTATCCCCAAAATAGCAAAGTGCAAAAACCAGCAAACTCAATGTCATACCATGGCGATATCTGCAAAAAACAACCACAATTTTTCTTCGGGAATAACTTTGACTTTTAGTTGATAGCTTGCTAAACTGAAAACAATTATTTCATTTCAATAATGTTTTTGCATCAAAAATGTTGAATTTTAATTTTAAATTTCCTTCTACTCATAAATAAATATGAATGTCAAGTGAATAGAAACATATTTCTAAGTCAGAAGCTAATTGCATCTATATATAATCTTTGGTTTAGTGGAAGACAGAACTAGTACATCTACCTCATGAAAGCCCGAGCACAGATTTCAGTGAAAATTGGGCGATTAGCCAAAACTGCACTAAATGACAAAAATTTTATTAAGGCAGTGAATGAGCATGCCATAAGCTTAATAAACTACTACCATGAGATGCTCAAACAAGAACCTGAAGATTTTGAAGCCATAAACCCCGATATCAGACAGTTACTAAAAAAATATGGAATACTTAATCTGCAGGTTCAAAAGATGCTAGAACATTGACTTCATAAGATGGGCAAAAGACATACACGATGTCCTTGAAAATATCGCACCTATATCTACCAGGAAGGAAGCGATTTTAAAGCAGGAGAAGGTTCACAATGTAGTTGACAATTATTATACTCTATCTGAACACTAGGTACAACCTTGCAGAAAATCCTACCGTTAAAACGTATTTGCAGTCCAGAAGGCGTCCTTGTATAACGAAATAGAAAAGAAAACCCAACATGCAAAGCTATACAAGATGCGGACGAATAAAATCTCGTCCATAGCTGATTAATCAAAATGGCTGCGATACGGAAATAGTACCCCGCAAGATGAGGCACGATACTGTTATCTCCAAGATAAAAACATGTTTGGAGGTTATAAAGGTATGTGCCAACATTGTGAGGAATGTGTGAAGACGGTGGACCATCTAGCAACGTAGTGCGAAAAATGTTATATCACGATTAACTAGAAGACACAATGAGATCCTACGATGGATCTATTTGAGAATATGCAAGAAGTATGATCCGAAAGCATTATCACAGATGTTGAGCAATTCTGTTTAGGAAATTTTCATTTATTAAAATGTGGATGTAAGAGTTGACACGTAAGAGCAAGAACTAGAATGAAAGCGGATCGACTAAACACCCTGGTATATGATAAGTACTTGGTATCACTGGTCAGGACAAGTTGGTAACAACTGAGATCAAGAAAAAGCAAAAATATGATTTGCGGGCAATAAACTCAGAGATGAAATACAGAACAAAATAAATTTATATGTAATGACTTGAGATAGAATTGTAATGAAATATGTAATCAACGCTATGCGAAAGCTATCAGTATATCTGATCAAATCAGGCATATATCTAAGCGATAATGTTGAAGACGTTCGAAAGAATTTCATTCGATCACTACCGTTGACTCATGAGGATGAAGCAATGAAGATCGGCACAGCAAATCAAAGCACGGATCAAATACAAACAGCATATCGGAATACGACTCAGCGCCAGAATCAAATAAGGCGGGAAAGAAGATTAATCTTCAACCTGCTACATTTGTAACCTATGAAATATGAACCAAATACTGAACATAATTTTTAACATTACCTGCACATACAAAGTTCTGTTTGTATGTATAAAAAATTAAATTCTTCCCAGGCTCTAACAAATGATACAAGATTTGGATGTTTTGGAAGCAGCTCATGTATCTCAACTTCCTTCAATTTATGTCTCCGATCTCGCGAGCATCGAAATGGCTCAACAGATATTTTCACCGCGTACCAACGGCCATCATCTTTACTTAATGCTTTGAAAACCTACAAAAATTTTTTTAATGTTTGGTATTGAAATAAACACAAAGATGCTTTTTACAAAACTGACTCTTGGAAGTATTTCCCAATGTGTACCTTATTAATAGTCTTATCAACACACTAAAAAGTTGATTAATCACGGTCGAAGCAGGGCATAATTTCATCCACATTACCGCTTGAAACTACACTCCATAACAATTTATTCTTTATTTTTCAACGAAAATAATATTTTTCCATAATTATACTTCACCATTCTTACTTCATAGCAATTATCTATATGTTAATTTGAAGCTTATGATAACGGATCAATATATTTCCTTACCTGACCAAATGAACCAGCGCCGATGCATCGTATCTTTGAGAATGTCTGCTCAAAAAAGCTTCCAGAAAGAAATTGCTCATAATGATAAGTTGTTATTGGTTCTACAAAAATCAATCTTTGATCTGACTAATCACTAAAAGCTAATATAGAAAAAATATTATAATTTGAGGCTGCTTGTATAAATCCCTAATTCTCAAAAATGAAAGGACAGAATATGATTGTTAACACCAATAATAATGATTGATACAACTCTAAATACTTGATTGAAAATGTTTTCAAATTTTAATGAAAAGACAATTGTAATGAAGTTCAATGAAACACGATAAACTACATGTTATTTTAAGATCTGTACTAACAAATTTGATTTATTCAGTCTTTTGACCTGTTTGCTTTGATTAGTTTCTTCAGATTTAATACTGACTTTTAAGTCAATGAAAATAATGGAACGTTTGTCAGACAAATTATTTAATAATGTCTTTACCCGGATTTTTCTTAAAACTTATGAAGAATGGGCCTTTTGGAGCTTCAGCATCTTTTTTTTGAGGGAGACGAACCGAAGTTCGCTGAGCTGATCGATGACAGGATACTCTACCCAACTCAGGCGTTTTCTGAATAAAAGAAATCTTTATTTGCACAGATACTAGCATAAGAAGAATATTTGAAAGTTTTATCATTTGCCTTCACATATATACACCATTATGTGATTGGGTTTTAACTTTCATTTCTATTCTCCTCGCATACACAAAAACCTTTCCGGATCAATTAATTCTTTGATGCTCAAAATAACCAAATCCAGCAAGCAAACAATTTTCTGAGTTACATTTTATTACATTACTGCTGAAATCCTGAAAAATATATACGACTTTATCGCTTACAGCCGTTTTCTTTTGAACTGTATCGTAAAATTGTATACAGTGCTCCAGCTTCCTTTTCTTTGGTGTTACTAATATTTCCATAGCATTCTCATCTTTCATGGCAAAACTTTTCGCATTCTTTGACTTAATGCAAACGCATTCACCTTTTGATTTGCAACCGCCATTCTGATCGCACTCACAAGTGTTTGATGACATTACCAACAGTGAGTGAAAGGAGCGAATAAAAGAACCTTGAGACCATAAGCTAATCAGAAATCAGCTTAAGTTTCAATCGTTGCGGAACCAAATGAAGATACAGTGCTGAAAAACAATTAATCATCAACATATTCTAAAATCAGCCAAAATAAAAAAAGATAGATTCTGTATCTTTAACAAAAAGTCAACTGCATGAATATGAATGTATCCAATTTGCACGATACAAAATTCAAGAAACAAGCACGATATTTTCAAAGGAGACAATTAATAGCTTTAAATGGATTATGCATGTCTAAAGCAGTTCAAGAAATAAAATAAATGCAAAAAACACGAACTTACGAAGCAATAAATGCATTCAATCAATATCTCCCGATTAAATTTGACAATTAACAATTTTAAAATCGACAGAATATGGAAAAGTAAAAATAATAATAATGCATTCACGTCCAAATTTCATTCCATGACCTACAGTTTTAATGCAATTTTTTGAGCTAAAAACGCAAACAACAAAAGTATATGCAATTCCATTTCGTGTAACTAATTAACGAAATTCCTAATACTCCGTTGATATTTCCTAATTTATATAATTTCATGTGCTCCAAAGGAAAAAAATATATTTCGTAACCACTATTTAGCCACGAAAAATCGATTTTCTATATACAGCAAAGTACTTAGGTAAAGATATCTTTTAAATAACATTATATTAAAAGATTTCATAAACAAATAATACACTAAAATACCGGACTAATCATTACAAGAGTAGCAATGCTTACATCTTAAGCAAATGTAAGAAACAATAAAGAACTGCAGCACTTGCTAACACAAAGAACATTGACAAATTTTAAATGAGGAGGGAAAGATGTGAGAAATCGTCTACTGCAGCACAATTACTATAAAAATCGCTTCATTGCAACGGTATAGCATTCAAGCAAAAAATGATGCAATTGGGCATGAGCCAATTTTTGAACGCACACGCCCGTAAACTATGACGTCGTTAAGGACATATTTTCTTGAGATCTGGTTGGTTGGATGGCTGCCAAGAGAATTGATTGATTAAATGTGCAAATAAAAATACCTTGCTTGAGGTGTGTATGTCTGGGTCATTCCAAAATTGGTAGTTCCGGGTCACTCAAAGTGTGTTAGTATCCAGACCACTCAGAGTATATAAGTCTGGGTTATTCAAGATATTTAGTCTATGTCATTTAAAAGATAGAGCAGCATTTTACATTACCGTAAAATAATGACATTACAGAGATGCTTACTGATTAAATCCGAAAAGAATACAAATACGATAAATGACATTAAAGTATTTGAGATATATGGGTTTTAAAAGAAGCTTCAAAAGTTGAACTTAAAAACTAAAATAGATAAAGGATAGAGTGTAAATAAATTTTTGCTTATTTCGTAAACCGCTTCTACGTGAGATTTACGCTACATACGCAACATGGTTTATAATATTAGAAGTCTTTGTAAAAGAAATATAAAATGCTGAGACTGTAAGAATTGAGGTAGAAAATAAGTCTCAGAAACCATTTGTTAATGTTATATTTTTTAATGGATTTGGATTTGCTAAATAGTGATATCAGTGGTAAATAAAAAGAGTATAGCACATTGGAGAGGAGAGTATTTATGACGATGTCATATAGGAGTATGCAATAAGACTATATTGAGGAGTATCAAAAGCGACGGGGGACGGACGATGTGTCTTATGATATCCGGTTATAATCTATGCGCTAATCAAGAGCAAGCCGACATCTATGTTTACGATGGTCATCTGGTGACCGAAGCAGAGTGCGTACTAGTAGCAGAAAGTAAGTAACGAGGTATCGTCAGAATTAGAATAGTGCTTGCTATTTTATCGGGAAAATAAAAGTCGCATTACATATCAGATTTTGTGAGTAAGTTTTAACTTTTGAAAAACGTAACATACAAACATTTAAAGATTTAAAAAGTGCAGTATTTGAATTCAAATAAAAGGCTGTATTATGCTAAAATTAGCAAAAGTTGAAGTTATTTATTTTAGAGTGTGCACAATCAATCACTGAACAAATTTTATTACTAATCGGTTGTTTCATTTTTGATAAAAGTAGGCTAATATAACTTTTACAGCTATATTAACATTTTCTTCTCTGCAAGCATTCGAGAGATTTGATCTCTTTGTATTTGAAACTGAAGATGCCACTCACGCCAGATCTTTCAAATTCTTGCGAATAATATTTTTCTGATAAGTCCGTAAAACAACCCTATACCACATTAATTGATTACAGCTATGACAAAATAATTGCATTTAATATAATACTTTCCAACTCTTGGTGAATTATATTTAAGATAGTGTAAAGTTGAGTTTAAAGTTCATACTACATCATATAAACTGCTGCTTATATGTCATCTTGCGCTATTCATTAGTTTTTTTGTAAGTAAAAATCTTTTTCAAATATTGAGTGAAAAATTTTTCCAAACAAATAATAAACTAAAAAAAATAGATATCTAAAAAAGAGACAAAACAGGACAGTGCATACAGCAGATTAATACAATACACCGCAAGAATATACAGAAAAAACCGTAATACTAACAATAAAGCACATTGGCAAATTTCAAATAAGGAGGGAAAATTTGTAAAGCCACAATTGCAGCACTATTACTAAGTAAATTGTCTCACTACCGCAACGGTATAACACTTGTACAAAAAAGTATTTGGATATGGGCCAAGTTTTGGCACATACACATCTGATTGGTTGCTCGGCTCGTGAAGGTATCGACTGATTGATTGATAATCCCACCTCATTTCTTAGAACTGACTATTATTATTAGTGGTTGTAATTGATGAAGACAGGAGTGAGCTAATTCAGTAAAAACTAGAATTCGCTGTCAAACAGAACCTTTATTACTTTATTAATGTTAGGCAAGTAATGAGTGCACTAGTATAGTATTTACAATTTTATTGAAGTGAATTATCCATTTTTAATGCATTTTTTCTGCCTTATTTTCTCATTTTAAAAACTTGAAAATGCAGAATTTTCAGATTTTGGCTTATTTTCATATTATTCTCTGTAAGCCTTCAAACAGTATTTAGCGCCTTTTTTCGTTCTAAATACTATTTGTTTTCAATCGAGAAGTATGGAAAACTTGAAAATTATCTCAAAAATCGCGAAAAATGAATACAATTTAAAGTTTTTTTTAGATTTGTAGAGATATATGACATTATTAACAATCTAGCTTAGCCACTGTGTTCATTTGTGAATACACTGAGAGATAAGCAACTTGTGACACGAATAAGTCTGAACTGTTGGAGGATTTTACTCAAGCCCAACCTCTAAGTATCGTCTTCTATTGATTTTGGTTGACCTAATGACGTTATTGAATTGCTAATTTCTAGAATATTCTCGAAAGTGAGTACTGTCTGTGATTATCTGGGGGCTATGATATTTATAGTTTCTAGAGTATTTTTGAAAGTGAGAACCATCTGTGATTGCCGGGGGGCTATAATAATTGATTTTTAATTTCTTTTTAGATTTCTAAAATTTACTTTCATTTCACGTATTTATAATTTTCTGCATAATGTACTAGTAATATTTAGGACTAGTTTGGGCATGTCCAACCGCTTATTGATCCTTTGGATATTTAATTTTATATTAATTTTTTTTAGATCTTTGTGGAATGTTTTAATCTATGGGCAGTTGAAGAAATATCTAATTTGGACTATACAGCTTTTTCGATTTTCAAATGAAATGTCTAGATCTGTGTACGTTTGCTTTATGCTTGAGTACAGTATACTATCATAGTTTGTCTTTGCTAAGGTGATTATTCTCTAACATTAGTTACTTATTAGTTTTATATCCAATAACTTTTATATAATCCTGTACTGTTTCATGAATAGCTTATGCCAATGCTTTTGATATATCAGTAAACTTGAAATTACGTCAGTGTCGGTTTTATTATCCCGAAAACTTAAACTATTGAATAGATTTCTGTGCAGTAATTTACTGTAGAAGATTTATTCTTTTCAAATCTGTAAAAGTAATTAAGGTCTAAATGTTGTCCCAA